TCATTGATAGTTAATATTAAAGAAATTTTTTTGTTCAATTTAAATTTGTTTACAATAGTGAAGATGATGCAATTATTAATTCAGGAGAATTGCTGTGTGACGGTAAGCTTAGACAAGCCAGTCATTTCATAAAATGGTGTTTTTGGAGAATTTTTTCTTTCTGTTTTTCTTTATTTCTAAATTGTATGGTAGGCATGTGATAGCATTTACTTTTCTTTCATATTAATAAAACAAGTTGTTTAGAATCTTTTACTTGTAAATTGTGTGAGGCCTTAAAGGAAATGAATTTGTTAAACTTATTGGTTTGATCTTCATCTTCTCCCTACCTCTAATTTTGACAGCAACTAATATCTGTCTTCCATTTCCACTTTAGCAATGGACCTTAGTGACCATGATCGAGTTGTGACCTTCTGACTTTCATCTCGTTTGCAACATACAGTTTCTTAGAAAAGTTTTAAAATATTTAAAAATAGATTAGCCAACATATTCTCAGAAAATCGACAACCCACTTTCAAGTTTTATAAGGAAAATAACTACAGATATTTGTAAAAACAAATTTTAAGGAAATAACATAGTTATATTATTGCTATATTTATTAAAAGCTTAACAAAATTGGAGAGACAGTTATTAAGTTTTGAAAGAATTTAAAAAAAAATCTGAAAAAAATCAAACAATTAATCTGTGATTTATTATTGAAAATTACATTAAAAGCCCAGATTCTGTTTAAGATTAATGATTCTGCAATTCCGTTTATAACTGTATTCGCGGAAAATTTGTTTCCCTAAAATTGTCTGTCAGCTATGACCTTGCAGTGTCCTGTTACCAAACATAGGGTCTTTCAGCAGCCACCCTCTTGACCTAGGGCAGCACTACCTCATCAAGGCAATTGATGTAGGCCTCCATGTTGAGTCTGCGCCCCTCACCAACAAATTTGGGCGTTTTTTTGTTTTTTTTTCTTATCACAATGAACAGGGTTAGTTTTCCAAGCTGCTGTACCTTTGTAATCATCATTAGACTCATGCAACTCTTTTCAAATGCTCTGCACTGTCCTTAGATTGATACCTAAACACTCTGAAATGTTTGTATTGGAACTTCCTGCACAAATGCCAAGCAATAGATCATGCCGTTTCCAAATTTCTGGTGGAGTGAATTGTGACATGGTGCTCTTTTTCTCACAGGCAGTGCTCAACTAATCCTACTTTAGTGTGCAGTTGATAAATAAAAAACAAGTGACATACGTGTGAAATTAAAAATATAAAATGACGACAATTTACCCATTGTACCCTGTATATGATTATGAAATAGTTCATGTTAAATTAACTTTTTTTTTTATATAAGATATGGTATCTCTAGAACAGTTTTATAAACATGTAGCATTTTAAGCATGTAGTTTAAGCTTATGTGACAATTTTTGGTATATCATTCTGTTCAATAAAACTTAAAATTAGTTTGTCTTAGTAAAAAGAATATTACAATATAATTGTCTTATAGAATACCTGTTCAATTTTTCTGACATTTTGAAGGAAATATGGGAAATAAAATAGCAAAGATAGAAGCTGATTTAAAAAAAATATTTGATTCCTACCTTACATCAAAAGCATTAATTTCAATTGTTACATAGTATTAAAAAAAGGTAAAAATTTGAATGCATGGTGGGTAGAATATTTAAATGCAATGGATGTTTTATGTATTCATTTATTTATTTGTGCCATGTGTTATTTCAGATTCTGTTCATCAATTACAATATTATTATTTTCCCCTCTGAAGTAATTCTTGAAAATTTACAGTGCCAAATGTTAATTTAATTTTAATTTTATGCTATTTCTTTCTGCTAGCAAGCAAATTAAAAATAAATTAATATGCACATTATCATAACACACAGATTTTTTTGTTTCCATCATAGAGGTGGATAAAAAGTTCTATCATTCATATGATGTCATTTTTTCCTGGAGAATGTTGGGCTCATAGTTCTGCAATTTCCAAACAGTTGTTGACTGATTATAGGAAACCTTCAAGCAAAAAAGTCAATGAAACATGATTAGACTTTTGAGAATTGGAACATAATTCATTCAAATAGTTGAGTGTGTACACATAATTACTCTCAACAAAGCTTTTTATATGATTTCTGAATTTTGTGAAGTTGTTAAATTAAGGAATTACAAGTTGGAAGAAAACTCTACTGGCAAGATATAACCTACAATCTTATAAGAGAATGAAACATGTATAATAATTAAAAAATATATTGGGTTTTAGTATCTTGGCTAGCTACCAACAAGACTTAAAGCATAAATATACACTGTCAAAAAGCTGGAAGCTTATTAAAAATGTTGTATATCTAAGTAACATTATTTGATTAATAATGCATTGATAAGTTTAGAGCAATTGCTTGGTTTCAGGGTGAGTCAGAGGTGTAGTTTAATTCTTAATGTGACACTGAAAAAAATGCCATTGATTTGTGTACCATTATGAGGTATACATGTGTCTAATAAAATAATTCTCAATATGCAAAAATTTATATAAAAATATCTACTTTTTAATATTTTGTGAAAATTTATCTTAATAGCAAGGAGATTGCAAAAGTTTCTAGTAAGTTAAAAAATATTTTATTTGTATAAATTAATGATATCGATATTCAGTCAAAATCTTTCCCTTGACTTTTAAGCCACCTTTCAGTTAAATTTTATATTTGATCATAAAAGAATGATTGTGGTTCATTGAATTCTTTGATATCTTGTCAGAATTAGTGACTAGATTACATAGAGTAAAACAAGTGGTGATGTGAAAGTAACAGAATACGCCACCAGTGGAAGAGCTTCCTGTCCCAGCTCTATGATTATTTGCTGCATCACATTTTTAATGTGGTAATGGTGTTGTCATATGCAGAAAAAAATGAATGATCAACTTTCTTAACCAGAAAAGGTCTTTTCTTTTGATACATTATTCACTTGATCATTGTAATGCTGCACAGCCACAGTTTGTCCAAGTTCCATCAATTTGTAATAAATTTGAATTCTATCATACTTATCTAATTATTTTTTCCTGGTAGATTCAATTTATCTACCTACAATTTGCTTTGTTTTGAATTCTTGCAATCACTTTCTTCATTAGTACTGATATTATTCTGTTTGGAGTAAGAAATGAAAGACAGATGCTTGAAGGCTGGCTAGCTGGTGTTTGTTTCTATAAGTTCATACACAACCCAGTTTCCTAGATACTATACTAGATTGATTCATCTTTTAAATTTTTGAAAGTTCATGTCCTGTATCTTTCTTTAAAAATTCCACCAATTCATCAGGTTTTAGGTATTGAAGTTTTTCAGGGCATTTTTGTTTTTAAACCCTTTTTAATCTTTGCAAACCATTCTTGATACATTTGCATCAATATTATAAGTATCAATGATTTCTTGCTTTCTAATTTCCACTGCACTTTTCTCCAAATTAAATATGAAGAATAAAGTTTTGTATGTGAATTTCATATTTGGCCTTTCATAAATATAAAGTAAAATTATTACTTCTTCACAAGCAATTAAGAACTAAGTAAACTTCAGAGACACTTATAATTTCCCTAACAAAAAAATGGCATTCATAACTTTTGCATCAATTGAATATAATTATTTTGCAAGATCTTTTTTAATGAATTTGTTTGAAATATGTAGCACTTTCTTGAAGAAAAGAACAAAAAGAAAGTCTGTTCATTGAATTCACTTGATTCTGATTCCATCATTTAAAACTAACTCTTACTAAATCTTTTGATCCTTTGTAGAAGCAGAAAATTAGCAAATACTGAAGATCAAATTAAATGATGTTATTTTACAAATAATTCTGAATAAAATTGATACTGTATACCTTGAGAATTTTTCATCAAAATATAAAGAATTTCTTTTGTGTTATCAAAATAATTTTTCATGTATAATTTGTCATAATAAACATTATTTCATGATTAACAGTATCCATATATTGCTTTTTCTTTTGTCTACATGTAGCAGCAAAAGTTAAAAATTATGATTTTTTTTTTTTTTCCTTTTTTATATAAGTATATTAGAAAATTTTTCAAGCCTAATTTTCTTGACAAAGATATGTTAAGATGTGGGGATTGTATGAGTTTTCTGTCGTTTTTTGTGCTTGCTATTAATCTTGGTAACTGGATAAGAGATTATCAACATTTTTGAAAGTGGCAGAAAGATAGAAAAAGTTTGAGGTTTGCATACACATCTTCATTGATATCTGTTGCTTGTGTTTGATATGTGCACATAAATATATTATCTGCTGTGAAATTGTTATAAATTTTAGTAATGCTTCTGAAATTTCATTACAGTTGTAATAGTTTTGTTTTGATATCCTTTTCAGTGTAGATTTTATGCTTGCTTTGATGTTTTGTTTAGAATTGTTATAAAATCTTTCCTTGTGACCATTACTGTTATTGTATTGCTGACATTGTATTTGTTAGTCTGTGTTTTTACTTGGTTTATTTTAACTTTTTATTATAAGTTTAAATCAAAAGCGCATTACATAACTTAGAGTTTTTGTTCACTTGTTTTTAAGAATTTTCATTGTTTTAAATTTTGTACATTATCCAGAGATTTATTTTATTAGTTGAAAGCTCATTATAGTGATTTTCTAATTTTGTTTATCAATATTTTTTAACTTACTCACAATGATGTAGTAACTGAAATTAAAATATTGAAGATACATTTCTATGTAATGGTTAAAAAAAACAAAAAAAAACAAGGTTTTTAAAGTTATTAGTTATTCATATGAATACATAAATACTGCTTATACAATAAATTGTAGAATTAAAGTAATGAAAGTGAATAAGAAAAATAAATTTTCAAATAATATATTCATTCTTTACAATTTTTTTTCATTTTTACTTTTGCCTTTTAAAATTGATTAAAATACTATTACCTTTCTGACAATTGCTGACCTTGGGAACTACTTTTCTGAAACTTAGGTTAAATCCTTGTTTAGTTGACTGACTTAATCTGATTTTTATGTGAAATGATGCTTAAATTCTTTTGTCTCTTTATTGATTTTACAAGTGAATTTTTTCTTTTTTGTTTTACAGTTCTTATGCTTGAAAAATATAAGAACATTTTTACAGACATGTAAAAAAGTATTTGGATTGAGAGATCAAGATCTCTTTGACCCACCTGATCTTTTTGATGTGAAAGATTTTCGAAAGGTAAGATCATTTCCAATTTTCTATCTTTGTTCATGATTTCTAAATTATTAAAATAAAAAATTATTTGTTGAAAAATGCTTATTGCTCTGTGAAGTATTTTCATATTGAGAAACAATATTATACTAATAATAAAGATGTATTAAAGCTTTCTGTTATATGTAGACATTTTAAGTAATTATAAAACCACCTATTAATATTGCCAACTACTGTTACCAGCTGAAGATAGTTTTCAATTTTTTGCAAATGCATCATTTATCAGGAAGTTTTCAAGTATTTAGTTTATAATCATTTTAAAGTAAGACACAAGAAGTTACAGGGAGTGAAAGAGAATAAGAATAATTAATTAATGAGGAAAAGGACAATAAAGGAACAGAATAAGGGAAGGCAGAAGATGGCAATTGACATTGCATTTAAAATTTTAGGGATTGTAGGTCACAGGGAAGCAAGACATTGGAAGGGATTTTCACAGGTGAGATGTATGAGAAAAGAAACTATTAGAATAGAGCATATAGTTGCATTAAAACAGACCAAGTTGACAATCTAGTAGCACACTAAAATGCATGCAGTTGAGGCAATAAGGAGGAAAGCTCATCACAACAATTGCCATGAAAATATTTGTAGAAAAGACAGATGGAAACATGTCACATCAGTGAGAAAGTGATTCAATTACATTACAGACACTTGTTTGAATTTTGTCAAGAATCTTGATATCTCTACTAGAAGCACCAGACCAGACATGGCAGCAGTATTTGATGCACAGATGAATGTTAGATTTATAAATGTGCAAGATGGATTCTGACAAGAAAAATTGTCTGGCATGACACAGTGAACCAACTTTCCTAGCAGTAGACATAGCAAATGATTCAAAATATTCACTCCATTTCATGACAGTGGGAAATGCAAGTCCAAAGAGATGCAAAGTATTGCATTCCTAGCATTTTGCATCAGCCATGCAAATTGATGCCAGGTAGAAAAGGTTCTCTGTGGTGATTAAATGAAAGTAGAACTATGTTTCACTTAATCTATGTAATAATTCAAGAAAAAGTGTTTGCTTTTATTTTCTTCTATATAAAGCAAAATTGAAATCCTCTTGTGTTAAAAAGAATCCATATATAATTCTTTCAGTATATTTCTATTTTTGGTATCATTTTATAAATCAGTTTCTCAAAATCTAAAATAGTAAAATCACTAATCAAATTTATGAAAACTTAAGCATGCCTACTTAATCCCTTCAAATGATCAAAAAGTAAATTAAAACTGTGCAATAGTTCGCTGAGGTAGTTATGAAAATTCTGTTACTAGTATTAATGAAGTTTGTAAATCACATGAAGAAAGATGGAAAAATGCTCAGATCTAGAAGAAAAATAATTACATTCATGCATATTAAATTTATAAAACAATTGCAACTTTATACTTGGTTCCAATAGAACATTATAAAAAATTTAAACTAATACTATTAAAATATTCTCAAAAGAACTTAAGTGGAGGAGGTACTTTGAATATGAGTAAGGAAGAAGCTAGCCAATATCACTGGCTATGATCAGAATGAAGCAGCTAGCCAAGTCAGGTAATTCTGGCCATGAATAGCTAGAAACAAATAAGAGGTTAGGTTGCCAGAACAAGGCTTATACTGTCTTTTAGGCAGTATCTTTCCATTGCATTAATGTGGTAGGATCTGGAATAAGTTCTGATACCTATGGGGAAAAGCCAATGGAATTAAGTAATTTCTGGACACACTCATATCAAAAAGTATTTTAAGCCCCACTTTAAATAAGCCTAGTATTACATTTGTTTTTGTGGGAAGCAAATAAATACCTAAGGCAGAATCTATCTACTCAAAGGATGAGGAGTGTATAAACATTTGCAGATGAGAAAAAGTGGTCAGTTTGATCGAGAATGACTGACCACTTTTCAACATTGAAATAGATGCTAGATATGATAAAATATAGTATTAAAAGTAAAAAAAAAAAGTCCAAAATCATGATATTTTATTTGAGTGGTCATTAAAATTTTTAAAATTGTTTTAGAACATATTCTTTATTAAACATAATACTTTAAATGCATTAGGAGGATTTCAGATCTATTTAAAGTATGTTGCCTACAAAGTTTTAAAACTATAAATGTTTGATTATATTTTTAAGACAAATTTATGGATTTCTGAGGATGTACAACTGATTATTTTTGCTTTTATTTCAATTTGTTTAAAATTGAAAGGATGAGAAGAGACCACACTTTATCTTGTAGTATGATACCTTGATTTTTGATATAGAACAATCAAATCAATCCTCTATTAATGAATTCTACTTGACAAATATTTAATTGCTCTTGTGAGCACCCTGAAGTATATTTTGTAACATATAACAACAAATCAATTTTTGATACAAATCTATTTTTATATTTTCATTGTAGGATTGTATTTTGCAAATTATATATGTTAATTACTTCATGATTTTTTTTCTATATAAAAAAATTAATAATTTATAGAATTTTAATAAATTTTTGTAAATAATCATACTATCCTCATCTAAGCTCATTAAAGACCATGGGAGAACAGAAGTTTTATTATGATTTTGTAAGATATAAATGAAAGTACATTTATCTAGTCCATAGATTAATATGCACCCCTCCCCTGTGATTTTTACTTCTTAGAACAAGAAAGAAAAGTTCCCAACATGTAGGAAAAGGATATTCTGTATTTAGATTGAAATTAATTCTTTATATGAGATCTGATCAAAAAGTATATTCTCGCTCACTTCCATTGTTTATAGCAGTGCTTGGAAGGAAAGTGTAGCCTGAAGTCATTTCACTACATCATAGATGTTCCCATCAGTAATCATGGATTGTGCAACAGTTCTTGATCAAGAACAACACCCCCAAGTCCAACAACCACCATATTCTTCAGATCTTGCTTTTGTGATTTTTCCACTTGAAAAACCAAATCCCACTTGAAAGAAACAAGATTTCAAGACATTGAGAAAATCCAAGAGAATGCTACAAGACAGCTTCTCACTATTTCAAGAAAGGAGTTCCATGAATGCTTTCATTAATGGAAACAATGCTGGATGAAGTATGTGGCTTCAGAAAGGGACTACTTCAAATGAGATTAAATGCCGAATTGATATATGTTGTAGTTTTCTTTTTATAGCACTAGTCCTGATATTTTTTGATCAAACCTTGATTTATATGTCAGCTGGAGAGAAGAAAATTATTATTCCAAACTAGAAAGTGCTCTTGTTAAAAAAATATATACTTATATTACCATAGAAATATCTGGAGTTACAAATAACAATTATTAGAACTATAACAATAATGAACTGATTCAAATAAGTTAAAAATGAATAATTCATTTTATTTAAAAGCTTTAAAAAATATATAATCAATTTTAAATACATTAGGTGTAAGAGTAAGTACAAATGTTTTGAGTTAAGATTAATGAACACCTCCAAATAGCACTTGTTGGTCAACAAATGATAGGCAGCTGTCATGAAGCCAGATAGAATAGTAACTATTGGATGGTCAAGTAGGTACTTCAAAAGGTTAAGAAGAAAAAATGAGAATGTGAAGAAAATGAGATCTGAATGTTTGTTGTTTGCTTGCTTAATATTAGCATGACAATATTGTGTTCTATTTATACCTTAGAATAATTTCATTTTAAATGATTTATCTAACATGATATTTATATTATTGACTTATCATACTAAATTATTAACCTTTGCTATGTCATTGCTGTTTTACCATAATCATTTAGAAGATAGAATAGAGAGTATAGGTAAATATCAAAGAATAAGTATCAAATATATTGATTCTATTTTTAATTTATTTTAATAATGGTGATACATATTTTTTAAAAATAATTTTTGTATTAAAATATAATTTATTGTTGTTAACATTAAATTCTGTTAAACCCTTAAAATACCCAATTGAAAAAAATATTTTCTTTTTAATGACATATCTAAATTCTACATAGATCTATACAAATTATAACTAGTTACTGAGATTTTAGTTTGATAAGCTGAAAGTGGAACATTTTTACATATTTGAATATACAGTAGCTTTGGTTAAATTGAATATCAGTTATAAGAATAAGCACTTAGTAAGGATTAATTGTACAAGAATAGAATCAAATTTATGTAATTTTTTTTTCAATTTCATTTAAAAAGGAATGACTGTTTATAAAAGAAACAACATTCATGGTCCTAATGGGTTCTAATTTACTGGAATTATATATTACCAAATCCTAAATCAGAAATTTCCTATTAAAATATAAACATGATCATAATTACTTGTATTTTTAAATATATTCGCAAAAATCCAACTTGTTCTATCAAGAAATTAAAAAAAAAAAAGAAGAATTTTTATCTGTCGAATACACCAAAGAAAACTATTCCACTATAACTATCAGTGATCTATTAATTTGAACTGGTTAACATATGGTTTTACATTGGTACTGCTTAAGAATTCACTCTTCCACAAACTCATATTGTTTTTTGCTGTCTTGACTTTCCATCAATGTTTCCTTTTATTATTTTGACCTTATTCCAGGAAGGGCAATATGCCCTCCTCATTTTCACAGTTTCCATGCTTGATTTAGTTATTTTAGTTTTGATAATGGCCTTTCAACATTACTTATGTCTGAGTTTTAGAAGTTATTTTTATTTTATGAGGTAGTTGTTAAATTGTAATTATACAATGAAAGGATGCTCTGAAATTGTATTGACTTCAGAATTTGAGAATTTTTTATCACCTTTTATTGTATATTATAAATATACCATTGTTTTACACTCATTGTCCCCAAGTTTTTTTCTGTTTTTATTTTATTAGTTCACTCATGCTGTAATGTGTTAGAGCCACTGTTTGAGTTGGACACAGTGTTGTAGGCAACAAACTATTCCTTCCTTTTCACAAAATCAAAATTTTGGGGATCAATCATGTGTGTGTGTGTGTGTGTGTAGACAGTTTCCTATAAAGTTTTGAGAAAGGATAAATTTTAAAGGGTCTTC